GGAGCATGTGTATTCTCCGTGTGTCCTATAGAAGAATCAATTTTCGTCATTGAGAGTTTTTCTCCATCTCTTTCAGCGATGGGAATATAGTCCACTTTAAGATAGTGATCACCGATGCTTTCTTTCTTCAACTGTTGAAGCGGAACACGACGTATGCATTCTTCAAGGTACCTAGTTCCATGATTATGTCGTATATGATGACGAAAACTATCAAAGTTTCCATGGACATAGCCACTTGCATTACGAGCACACAAAACACACTCGTATCCATTCGTATCCATTCAATAATACAGGCAACCCTTGAATGTAAGTATATGTTTCCGTATTTGAAGGATATTTAGCTGATGCTTCCGATATAGTGAACAGGTGTAAGTCATTCAGCTCTTGAGCCAAGTTACTATTAAAATCTATATCGTGAATTAATTTAAATGTCGTTGACATTTGGTACATCAATGATATATTCACATTTCAGACACGTCAGAGCAAAGTTAGATAGAATCTGCAATCCGTAATTAGCTAGCTTGTGACAATAACAATACTTTCGCAAAAACGTGTTTACTATAGTCATGTTGTAACAACAAAGCCATTCCATTCACTACCTTTGGCGATGAATGGAAACACCTTCTATTTTCCGTTCTAATATATTTTATTTCCACGCTAACTTCTCGTCATATCGATACAATGATCATTTCGTAGTCATAAACATACAATTAAATGAACTGTAAGAGAGTTTCATAAAGGTATACAAACAAACATTCATCCGAATTTACCTGCTTGCAATATTCTCTTTTTCCAGTTAATAACACTTGATCGGAAGAACTAAGACTCACGAGAAAAAGCGAAAAAAATTAGCATTAAATTTGAGTAACAGAATTGCTCTGCAACTCAAATTTCTTCATTAATAGTCGATGGTGGAGGAGCTAGAGCATCATCCCTTTGTTCATACCTGAGAAGGGCAGGAGAAGTTTTGTTTTCCGTTGCGTTTACGAATTCAAATCCAGGAAAAGTTACAAAGAAACAATAAATAAGCAGAACACGATATTGACAGACTCGTTAACTTATGTTGTAATAGTAGTATCAGCCGCAGCAATTTAAGCTGTCAAAGCTGTAAACAATGTAGCAGGAGCACATAAAACGCAAAGCACAACCATACCAATGGACAATCATCTAGCATCATTTTGTTCCTTGTTAGCATGATGAAACATACTTAATAATTAAGGATTATGCCCCTTACAGTCTAGTGAAGCTAAACGTACTATCCATAGCAAACAATATATACCCGAAGAAACAATCATGTCTAAATGATATCCGCTTGATTGAAAAGAGCGTGAAACTTCAGAAGGAATGTCAAACAGTTTATGTATTGTAATTTAACCTAATGTTGACCAAAGTATAAACGCTAAATACCGATATTTTGGCTTTAAAGCAGTTACTTTGAGAGAAAAATAATAATTTATTAGCTTTCTTGCTTTTTACGTAATCCTTCAGTGAACTTCTGAAACCGCCGGATCCAGTCATTTTCCTATTTCCTTTTTTGATTATTTCCGGAGAAATCTATTTGAAATGTTTCTTTACGTCTTGTGGTGTAAATAGAGGAAGTCCCTTCTCGAGATCACCCACATTGTAAACATTAGAATGGTTGTATGCAGGAGGATGGCTTCAATTGAATTTCAGCTCCTTTTCCGACATTTTCAAAAAAAAAATATTTCCCAGACAATGAGCTTGCAAAAGAGAGTCAAAACGCTGTTAATCTGTATCGATGTTAAAATTTCCCAAATGTTCACAAACCGCTAAGAAAGGCGAATTTGAGAGGAACGTAGTTCAAAGCACACTCGATATTTCTTAGAAATCAAAGAGAATTAAAATAAGATTAAGAAGGATCCCAGAAAAACTGAAGAAAGAAGATGTTGGCTCCAGCAGGAAATTTCGCATCACTTACGCAACATTTTCGTCCCGAAAGGTAAGTAACAGACTTCGCTAATAACAAGTTTCTTTATGTTTGCATAAACAAGCCAGATCGTCCTTTTTACGAAGCTTTTCCTATATTTGAAAATATTGGCTAATTGCACTTCATATAGGCACGTTTTAAACATTAGATAATTCAAAAGCTGTCTACAACCAAAAAGCAGATCTTATTTAAAGTGCCGAAATGTCAACGAATGCATTCCTTTAAATCTGCAATTGTTTAGTCGTACCAAAACAAAAAATAACCCTCTTTCCATCTGATCATTGCAGTAAAGATATGGTTGAACAAGAATGAGGCATACGGGACACGCCAGCACATAATTTGAAAATCAGTGAAAGACCGCATCAATATGCTAAGCAGAAGCAAGTAGTCCGTATTACCGAACGCAAAACTATAAACTAAAAAGGCAGTCCGTCATAAGCAATGGGGGCCAAGCTATGTTGGTATAAGGATTATTAGCTTCGGACGGGATTGCGCTGATGATTTTGCAATGACTTATCTGATGAATACATTCTCTGGAATGGTTTTATATGTCTGTGATCAGCAATACTTCTAGTAACGTCTTTCAACTTGCTTGCCAAACCTGTATTGATAGCATTGGATCTGAAAAAACTTATACCTACATTACTACTCTATTCTTCTTTGTTACCTTCAATTCCTTCTTTGTAATATGCTAGGAAACCAAACGTACAAAATAACTGCTAAGCACTATTTCGCATTCCTTCGTGTTCGCAGCCTTTTGGATAATCAAAATAGAGAAAAACTATGGATAAAATCTATGCCTAGTTCCCAGGATTGTGCTGTGTCTAAAGGAAATTGTTTATGCTATTAGGAGTAAAAATTTGTTTGTTCATTCTTTTTCAATTTTTCAAACTACGTTAAGCTAGTCAAGGCAATGAAAGGAACGAATAAAATAGTAACATATTATACAATAACTCATTTACTATATACATTTGATGTACATTGTTCTCTATTTAGAATGTTTTCTAAAATTGCTATAAATAATGCTGTTGTAGATACCACCCGTAATACTCAAGAACGCTTTCCATAAACTAATCAATTGAGAGTAGTACAGATTTAAGTGCTAACTTTCAGACTGCCTTCTGTCTTTCTGCATTTATTATAAAGGAAATGCCGAGGTGGGATGGCATACGGACATACCTGATGGTTCAATTTTTTAGACTTTGATAAATCACTATGACACAGGGAAAGAGTCCATGATGTTGAAACTCAAATATCAGTAAAATCTGTATTACTCCTTCTTTTACTAGTCGTTTCATTAAAAGAAAGCGCAAACGTAAATAAATAAATAAATGATGACAAGTTAGTAAAAACAGAAAAAAAGGGAGAAAGATAGACTGAGAGTAAAAAAATTCGTTATTATGCAATATGCTCATTATTAATTACATTCAACGTCGAGAGTACCAGCCAACATTAGACTATGCTTTGGCAAGGTAGGTTTCTTCATAGTCATAGGGATTACCATATCCAGCCTCGATACAAGCCTCAACGAAGCGTTTATCTTCATCCTCAACGCAGGTTTGACTAATATGAGGAAGAAAGAAAAAAACTAGGATAGCAACAAAGAGTGCGATACCGCTGGCGGCGTAAAAATAGACTTGGATTTCATTTCCACCAAAAACATAAACACCAGTGATAGCACCGCATTTCCCAATAGCAGCAGCAAGACCATAATAAATACCACGGATGGCAGTAGGAGAAGTCTTTGAAGCTATCAAACCAATGCTACCACCAGGACCGAATTCGCCCAATGTCAAGAAGATACCATAGATGACGCAGAATCCGGCAATATGATGAACCAATTGATTATAAAAGCCAGACATAAAAAAACCAATAGCACCTTGTAAGATTAAGCCAGATACTAAGCACCACTTAGGTCCAATTATGTCGGAAAATATGCAACCTAACCAAGAACCTGGAAGGGGAAATGAGTTAATAAGAGTATTCCATCCAAAGCTTTTCGCAATAGATGCATTGTGAGGAAGAACACCACTTACAATCGTACTAGAGTATAAGCTAAATGCAAATGTGGATAAATCATAGGTGAACCACACGATGCAAATTACGAGAAAGCGGATACCGTATAAATGTAAAACGACAGACCATGGAATTTTGGAATAGGGAATTTTAGATTGTAAGTAAACATTATTTTCTTTCATTGGCAATCGGAAAAGAAAAAGAATAATGGGAATGACACAACCTAAACCAATAGACATACGCCAAACGACTTTAAGATGGTGATCGCCAAATATGCAAACAAGGATATACGGAACGAAAGCACCTAGAGCAAGCCCCAAATCTACTGCAGCATTGGTTACAAAAATAAAAGAACCATGGCGTCTACCAGACTTCATTTGATTTGAGTTTTCGGAAGCAGCCACGGATCCACAAGGATATTCAGCGCCAATACCAATACCAAGGAAAAACCTATAAGCAATCAAAGCAGAAAGCATACCGCTGATGCTTCCATGGTAACCGTAAGCGCCGGCACAAAGAGCGGTGGATATAATAAGGATAAGGGTAGCAGTAATCATACCATTCTTACGACCGAAAAAATCAGAATACCAACCAAATGATAATTGACCGACAACGGTACCAACATACGCAATTACACCAATGTCTTGAATCGACTTATTGTTAGTAGTTTCCTTAGGATAAAGCTTCTTTAATATCGTCATGACTGTACCGATAGAGTTGGAGCAATAGCCGTCCGAAATTAAAGCAACGCCGCAAATAAAAATTTCAAAGAATTTTTTCCATTCTTTAGTAGAGTGGTTGGATCCCTTTTCTAGCTGCGACGAAGAATCGAAAACATCTTGTTTCTCATCTTTTAAATATTCTATTGAATTTATTGAATTGGATGTAGCTCTATTCGTGGGATCATTGTCGAATGATTCAGTATTTGGGGTAGCCCCAATCTCAGTTTTTCCAATAGAATAAAGATTAGAATCCGAAGGCATGCTGCTAATCATACCAAAAAATGCCTTAACAAACCGGAATTTATGAGAAACCAATTGGATAAGAGAGATCAAGCAAAAAAAAATAAACTAGAAAGATAATCTGATATTTGGGATGCTTCGCTAGAGAAATGAAAGGATATATAAGTTATCTAAAACAATTAAAGGCCGAAAAGAAATTCGTAGCTTGTTATCACGGCAATAATGTCCTGCGTCGTGTCTTTATAGTCATATAAATGAAAATACAATTGTTTATTGTACAAGCGGTTGGAATACTATCTTAAAGTTCCTTCCTAGGTATCTGAAGAGATATATCTACAGTAACGTATCTGTGGTAACTCCAAATGAGGACGGTCTGAAAGAGGTTTATAAACTCTGTCAGGAAGACTTTTTCCAAGAAAAGTTAAAGCATAGATAAGTTCTTAATCAATTGATTTAGGCTCAGTAAAAATTCATTAACCAATTGCCTTTTATCGATAACCAGAATTTACTATTCCAGTTCTTTGTTTATCTTGATTCATGCAACGTCATAAGTTTCATATGTTTGATATGATAAAGTTGGGATAATGTCTTGTTTATATTATATATATTAAAATACACTGTCATAAGAGCATATTGCCATATATTAGCAAATGCCATAAGATTAAAGGATGAGATATTACAAATGGTAAACAAAACAAAGAAAATACGATTTTAACAACCATGTGGACAGTCTTTTGGAACAGAAGTCTTTTAAATAAAGAGAATTTTGTTTACAAAGAGATAGATTATGTTAGCTGTCTCAGCGAAGATATTTAAACTATGTATCCACAGTCGAATTCTTTAGATTGGAAGATTCAACTGGTGTGGCTAAATAAGATTGTCTTCACACTTTTCTTTCAATTAGCCAGATCCCTGGAGATTAAGAGCATCTATACACATAGTAAAAAAAAGTTCAATTAACATACAGTTCTACAATCGTAGATATTAATTCACCCGATTTTTATTCTCATATACCGTGAGCATTACTAACGTGACAGTTCAACAATAACTACTTCTATAGTAACGAGGATAGCCTTGTAGTATTACTTCCAATAACGCGATGTAGTTTGCTATGCATTAAACAAAAAAAGAACGCAAATTGCTTTGATATTGTAAGTAGTATATAGCGCTTGAACGCTATTACGGAAATTAGTTTTATATAGATTTATAGGTTGGCGATATTAAATTCAACGAAACATGTAGCTTTGCGTCGATAAATAAACAAAAAAATTAGAGAATTTTTTTATAAATTCCAACAAGTCAAAAATTGATTTGGGAAACGCTATCAGATAATTAAATTAAGTTAAATTAAATATACTAGAAAATATCAAAAATAAAAGTGTTGTGTTCATCGAGCAAAAACTGAATATGTTTATACAATGCTTTCTATCATACATGAGATTTTTATTGCACCTTGTTTTTAGATGAAGAATACATAAGCGTTAAAACTAGGCAAAAACAAAGGACATGTTGCAGGATTTGTAGAATTTGCCAGTACCTTGTTCATAAGTGTTGCAGTCATTCTTGAGTATTAATCTAATGAAAGTTGTTCACGCGAGTACTTCCGTAAAAGTAACAAATCATGATGCACAGTTTGTAAACTAAAGTTATATCTTTCATAAGAGTTGACAGAAGACAGGAAAAAAAACGAAAGAAAACATTAACGCAGATACGCAAGAACGAAGAGAAGCAAAAGTTGATGTTGAGAAAGAATTGGAAACAAGACAAGACAGATCAAACACAAGTAAAAGTTACAACTGAAATTGAATTCGATGTCGAAGCAAGTGATAAACAAAAGATACGAAAGACATACAAGAGGTACGAGTATTGCTTATTCAGTAAAGCTCTTATTTACTGAAAAGTTAACTAGAAATGACTATATTTATATGTATGTCGACTTTGTAAGTCAGTGGAGATTCTAGTCTTAATAATGACAAATGTACGATATGGTGTATAAAATGAAACAAGTATACTCACGTTTACTTTTGTAATATAATAGCAAAGCAAATGTTGTCTCTATGATTTATTTTAGGAATATAAAAGTTCAGGGCGTGAATTATTGAAGGATTAAAGCGTTCGCAATAGACAAAAAATATATAAAGCAAGAGAATTACGGGAAAAGACAACTCAGAAGGATGTGCATATACAAGTCAACGAAGCGGAAAAGTAAACAAACAAAATTCTAAAGTACTATTGAATACCCCAAAAATTGGGTTGAAAACGATTTCAAACATCATCAGTGAAAAATGGTTTATGTGTGTGTAAGTAAACAGCAATGACGAGTTTAGTAAAAGCATTTCAACTAAGTAGGTACATAAACATTACTTAACTTTGGCATTGTCACGGTAATAATCTCACACATTATGAGAATGTTTATCGAGCGGATATAATCAGTACGATTACAGAATTATAGATTTCAGATGGACAATTTGGTATTACGTAGAAGAATAGTAATAACTTCCAGGGTGCTAAATAACTAAATGAAATGTTTGAAGGTCAATTTTATTTAGCCTGACCAGTCGGATTTTCCAATCTGAAGATTCTGAATGACAATATCTTTCGAAAAGGTTTCCAAGGAAGATGATATATCTTTACTGTAACATACTTAATTCTTAACTAACCTTTGCCCTTTATCGTCTCTTCCAAAAGCATAACATAAAGGTTTCATTTTAAAATCACATACTGTTTGGATCCTTTCCTAGTTACAAAGTAAAGTAATTTGTGTTGAGAAGCGAAAAAGAAGCCTCAAAAATGAAGCAAAATTCCATGGCATTCATCGTTTTACCAGAAGAACAAATTTCAAATCATTTGCCAACCACTTGACTTCACTACGAAAGCAAAATATAATTGTTACCACAGTTTGCTCGGTAGCTTAGCATAACTTTCTTTCTATCTATGTAAAGCATTAAGAATCGAAAGGCAACATTGATTACGATACTACTCAAACCCATATATTAATAAGCCTTTCCACATGTCGTCATAAATCGAATTTCAGATCAAAGAAACAGGACGCCTCTTTTCTTCTGCTTTGGGATCAAATTGCAATTCCTTGCCATAATTTGGGAAAGTGTTATAACCATAGTTATTATTAGCATAGAACAAAGAACGAACGTAAGGAGTAAGCTCAAGACCCTTCTTTAATCTATCAATTAAATCTGGATTTGAAGTAAAATATCTCGAAAATCCAATCATAGTACGGTCGTCACCATTAACGTCAGCCTTCAAACCCTTAAACTCTGGGCTGTCATAGGTATAATTACCAGTTTGCAAAATAGCCCCCTTCCATAATTTCTTGATAAAGTCATTGGAACCAACATTATCAGACCAGTTTGCATCTAAAAGTGCTTGGACCCTAGGCTCCACAATGGAAAGATAAGCAAGCTGCTTACCGTCGTTTGCGCGTTTTTGGAGCTCATTAACCACATAACTAAAGGTTGTAATAGGATGCACAGTATCTTCTTCAGCTTTCATTCCTTGGAATTTGATCCAAGGAGACAATCTGATTGCAAGCTTTTCAGCGCCAATTGTATC